CCCACCTGGTACCCCCTGGGAGTCAGGCTGTGGGCCTGACGTGATGGTAGTGAGCTAGGCCCACGTGGTTGCCGTGCAAGCCAAGCCCTCAGAGGTTCTCAGGTCTCCTCCGGACTCCTGCTCCTGCTGCTTCTATTCAGTCCTATTCTGCCCTCCCTTCTGCTTCAGCAGCTGGGACCCATGAGGGAAGCCCATATCTGCTGCTCAGGTTGGCTTTGGAGCTTTAGAGATGACAAAGGGCCATTTCACTAGCTGGTGGCCAAAGGGAAACTATAGCGGAGTCAGTGGTTTACATTTGGTTTATCCAGGAACAGCCTCAGTACTTAGGTGGAGACTGTGGTGTCAGTCACTGGGTCTAGAATCACGACGCTGTGGGGCACGGCTGGTCCACGCTCTTCATGTAAGAAACTTCTTGCACACACATCTGCCTAGAAGGGTTCCCTTCACCCTCTAGCTCACCCTCCTCCAGGCTGCACAGCTGTGCCTGCCCATTTCCCTGGGCTTTCCTGAAGAGGGCAAGGCTAACAGGATGGGCAAACCCAGTCTCTTCCCTCACCAGGGTTCCCAGATGGGGACACAGTGACCAACCAACGAACCCCGTTAGAATAAGCCATTTGGGGAACCCTACCCCCACTTCCAATTTTTTCCAATCTCCTAGTGTTCTAACCACAGCTCCCCACAATGGTGCCCCTCAGCCCAGGCCATGGCCAACGTGAGACATTAAGGATGGGCGAGAAGGAGGGTCAGCAGTGGGGAGAAGTCAGGACATGTGCTGGTATCCAAGGCTGGGGGACCCTGCTGGAGGGCCCAGGAAGGACCAGCATGCCCCACCCCACCTCCAGCCTGGAGGCTCACCCAGACCCCACTGAGAGCCCCAGTTCCAAATTGAAATTTGCTCACCCAGTTGGCAGCCCTAGACATTAATATTTCTATCACTGTCCTTAGGAATTAATTTCTAAAGAAATTAATCACCACCTCTTCCCTCTCCCTCACCCTCTTCCTTTCTCCGTTCCTCTCTTTTCCAATTTTCCACTTGGCTGGGAATTCTCCAGCAGCGAAAGTTCAGGCTTAGGGGAGGGCGGAGGTGGCTGCTTCATTAGAGAGGATAATCTCATTGGAACCACTGGCTTGAATAATAACCCCTCCAGGGGCCAGGCCTCTGTCCCCATGGCCTTTCGACACCTCTGAACTGGGGATGGAGGGCCCAGCTGCAGAGCAAGAGGGATGAGGAAGGGTTGTAGAGAAGGTGAGCAGGGCCGGACTCCAGTTCTGGGGGCCCGAGCTTGTCTGCACAGGGTCTACCTCCTGCTGGCCACCCGCAGGCCTGCATTGTTGGGGGGCCGTGAGGGTGCTGTTTGGGCCACTGCCTGAAGACTCTGTCACCTGATGTGCACTTTTTGAGACCTGCCTGGCAAATGGATGAAGCAGGACCTTCCTCAATTTCCCACAGTGGAGTTAAAGGAAATGCTATAGGAAGGACCCAGGGCCCTGTTGAAGGAAACATCTAAGCCACCACCTGCGCTGCCCCCAAAAGTCATTGCATGAGTCCTTTGCACACTTGCCAGCTCTTGCCTGGGCTAATGAGAAATCACAGCCCTAGAAGAGTAGGAGGTCATTACCCTGGCAGACCCTGTAAGAACTCAGAAGGGATCCATCCTTCCCCCTCCATTATCCTATCACATCTAAGGTCAGTTGCCTGTGCTTTTGGACATTTGCAGCCTCCACCCTCATGGGCCCTGAGGGATAGTAGAAATGTCAAAACATCCCTGACACTGACCTTAAACTTGACTTTCCACTAAGAGAGCTGAGTAGTCAATACCCTTTGACAGCTAGTAAGAAAGCAGAGCTCCAAGCAAGCCAGACCACTCTTCCCCTCTTTCCTCCGTCCTGGCCTCTGGGGCTCCCCATCCCTCATTAGGAAGAAAATTGCTAGAGCCATCTCTGTCTTTTTGTCTCTGATTTGCCCCGTGGGCCAGTCTGAAAAAATCTGTGCTTTTGTGCCAGCTATATTTTGGAAGGCTTGCATGAGGAAGGCAGAGCAGGGGTGGGATCCTAATACTGGTGGGCATTCATGGAGGGCTTATCTCCTATGAGCTATGCCCTGCTCTAAATACTTTACTTGCATAACCTCACTTAATTCTCCCATAATAACCCTATTTGGTAAATTCTATTCTGTCCCCATTCTGCAGAAGAGAAAATGGAGGCACCAAGAGGTTAAGTAATTTGCCCAAGATTACACAGTTAGGTGAGATGGTTAAAATTGTAAGCTACGGTGGCTTCCTTGGTAAGACTTAAATCTGGGGGGAAGGGGATGACAAGTATTTGGTTTGGGGGCTCTCAAATTTGGGGAGCCATGGAAGGATGCAGTCACATGAACTTTGGAAGCAGCAATCCATGCAGGTAGAACTTGTCTTGAGATCCCACAGCTGAGTACCTTTGTACATCTGCAAGAGAGGGTGGAGTCCTCTCTTCTTCGTCTGTTATCTCTAGTTAGCAACTCCAGGTGATGCTTGGCCCTGACACAGGTTCATTTTTCTCTCTTCATAATTTAATCAAAGGCATCTTTCAGACCTACTGATTGCTCTTGGAAATAAGGACTTCAAAGTTGGGGAGTCAGTGAATAATTTAAGCCTGTACCAGCTCTCTGGGTCTGTTGTTAATGGGAGTAATAACCCTATTAATAGCGATGTCAGTGCAGACACCCTAGAAAAGTCCATAACATTAGCTTAATGGCTGGAGGTAATGAAGTCCTCACAGACGAGCTAGCCTGGTAAATTAACTTCCAAGACTTTTAGGCAGATGCCCTTGTTGGCATGGTCTGCTAAAGCAGCCAGGGAGTGCCAGGGAGGTGACCAATCCATGTCTGACCCTTCACTCTCGGGATTCCTAGAAGGATCCTGGAGAATTCACAAATTGAAATCATATCCAAAGCACATCCTAGTGGCAGGCAAAAGTAGCCATTTGCCTAGAGACAAAGCTTGAAGGGAAATTTTGAAATCGTCTCAAGCAACAGAAAGAGAACATCAAGATGGTGGAGAAATGGCTTTAGAGTCCATCCCTCACATCTCGGTCTTGAAGATTCGGAAGGATGGTCTTGACACCACGGTGGTCAAGAGCAGAGGCTCCAGAATTCATCTGTGTTCAAATACTGGTTCTCCCTGATTGGCTGGTGACCTTGAGCTGGTTATTTATCCACCCTTCTTGCAGTTTCCTGGTCTACAGAATGGGTTTTTCAATGGTACCTGCCTCGTGACATTGTTGAGAGACTGTGACATAAACCATAAGCCTCTAACTGAGGTGCTTAGAAGCGCTCGGTGACTAGCAGCCACGATGGGATTACTCAGAATTATGTTCTACTTTCTTGTTCCACATCCAACTTACTCTGTAGCCACCATTTTTGTCCCTGTATCTCCTCTTCTTCCTTTAGTCCACACTTTCGGTGACTTCTGACCCCTCCGCCACCTCTCCACCATTAGGCTGTCCTTCTCACCAAAGCCAAAGATGCCTTCTTTCCCTGCGGTGTTCTCTGTGTTGAGTCACCCCAAGAGTGGCCCGGGGTGTCCTGGAGCCTCTCTTCCCTCATCCTCAGCCCCACCTTTCAGCGGTCTTCTCCCTCCCCAGTATCCCCCCACCCCCTCACCCCCCCACCCCCCGCCCTGTGCGGCCTCCACAAGACCTCCCTGGCTGTTCTGATTCCTGCTAAACCCCTTGCCTGGTACCCCTGCCTGTCCTGCGTCAGCTCCTGACATCCTCCTTCCTCTAAACTCTTAACCAAAACAGATCAGCCCCTGAGGAATGACCTCCCTCCCATCCCAGCTCCTCCAAGCCTGTCCCTCTGAGAACCCTGCTCCCCCTTACCCCACAATAGAATCAGGAGACCACAGTTTCCAAATGGCGGCAGCTCAGCGAAGGTCCCTGTGCCCGTGGCTTATCCGACTTGGATCAAAACACTGCTCCCTGAAGCTCAGATAGGTGTGGGCAGTGAACTCTCAGTGGAAGGCAGAATGCCCTGGCCTTGGCAGACAGCTTCAGTCCCTTCCCCATGTGTGACGTGCACATCTGGATGAAGGGCTGTGATTTTTACGTGCATGTTTCAGCAGCCTCATCGGTCAGGACTGTAAGACCCCAGGTCACCCTGGATGTGGGCCACCTGTGACCCGGTAAACTTTGAATGACATAGGATGCTGAGCAATAATAGAGACCTTCTCTGGCAGTTACCGTGCGCCAGGAAACTGAGATTCCCATCCGAGGCAAGCTGGCTCCGGAGCTCGCTTTGAACTACTATACTCTGCTCCTGTGATCCTTCCTTCCCTGCCTTCCCCGCCACCTAACATTTGCCTTCTGTCTACTGGCCACGAGGTATACAGGAGATTCCAGAATAAGTCAGGCTTAGTTTCTTCTTGTGAGTTCACACTTTGTAGGAGAGGGCTGCATGTAACCCAATAGTTATCATATAATTGAAGAAGTTCTAGACTAGAAGAAACCCCAGATGCTTCGAAGGGTGGTGGTGGGGAGAGATTGCAGATGCATCATAGTTGAAGCGTGTCTGGAAGGGCAGGTAGAAATTGGATAGGGGAAATGTGGAGAGAGGGTGGTCCAGAGAGCAGAACTGGCTGACCAAGGCAAGAGTGTATTGTATATACAGCGAGAACAAGTCTCGGCTTGCCTAGGAGGGGAGGAGAGTCGCAGGGGTGAGAATGGGTGGGGAGGTAGGAGAGCAGGGCTTTGCAATCCCTTATGTGCATGAGGAGTATGTCAGGGGTCTTTCGGGTGATCTTAAGTGTTTGCATTGGGCAACAAGTGATTGGGATTGCTGTCTTTTTCAAAATCCGACATGGGGTGGGAGGAGCAGGAGGGAGGAAGGGGCCAGGAAGGTCAGTCCTGGACACATTGAGTTTGGACACGTCCTGGGAGCCACGGGCAGTGCCTGACCCCCGCACCAGCCCCTCACTGGAGCAAGTGGCCTTCTCCGGAGTCACTGGTCGGTCTGTCCCTCCCAGGTGCACCCGGAAGGAGCGCTGTGAGCGGTCTAGAGAGCCCCGCAGGTTTGCCTCTGAGATGAAGCAGTGCGTCCGGCTGACCGTCCATCCCAGCAACATCTCTGTGTCCCAGTACAATGTCCTGGTAAGGGCAGTGGGATCTGGGCCCAGGGACATGACAACCCTCTCCCCACCAAAGCCCCCCAGTGCCCCCTCTGGAGAGGTGGGCCACACCTGACCAGCATAGCTGCTCGAGAGCAGCTTTGAACAATGTGTCCCTGGAGGTGGAAGAGGGGAGCATGCACAGGACTATTGGGGCAGAGGCTCTCTGCATAATGGGTAGAAAAACAAGCAAATATGTGATACCAAAAATGACCGAAAGGGTGACCAAGAGAGGGAGGGTATTGGGAACTTTATTTCTGTCTGTAAGATGGGAAGGATGTATGTGCAGAGGGAGAAAGGGGCAGGATGGCTCCCATGTTCATGCCCTGGGCACTTGGTGGTTGGTTTGCCATTTTTCCAAACGTGGGGACAATGGGAGAGGAGCTTGACCAGCAATATCTCAGTCCTAACCACCTCTCTTTCTACAGACAAATCCCCTAAGCATTCCCATTTCCTGGAGCCAAATCCATTCACATGCAGTGAAGTTTCCTCCGTGTCTGTCTCTTCACTCCCCGCCACCTTGCCTCTGGGCCTTGTGATCAGTTGGCTGTCTTCTTCTCTATGTTAATAATGCCTTCTGCTTTCTTTCTCTCTGCTCGCTTCCTCTCCCTCCATCTTCCTTTCCTATGCACACTCCCCTTCCCCATTTCACGCTCTTCTTCTCTCTCCCCTCTGCGGGGCTGCTTACAGCTGGTCCTAGAGACATACAATGTCCCGGAGCTGTCAGCTGGCGTCAACTGCACCTTTGAGGACCTGTCAGAGATGGATGGGCTGGTGGTAGGCAATCAGATCCAGTGCTACTCCCCAGCAGCCAAGGAGGTGCCCCGGATAATCACAGAGAACGGTGAGCGGTCCCCGGAGGCAAAGCTGGGTGGCATGTCCTTCCTCCTGCCTTGATGAGAGCTCGGGACAGGCATGGGGGCATAGAGGGACCACACAGGCAGGGGAGAGTCAAGGGAAGGGGGTGCTTTGGTGGGTATGATACAGAGGAAGGGGATGAAGTGCCTTTCGCTGCTCTTAGAAATGACTGTTGAAACCAGGTGAGCATCCTGGAGTCAGCGTCATCCTAGGTGAGGAGCAGCTGCAGAGGGTGGAGGGAGGGCTAGGCCGGGGCAGCCTCAGAATGTGCTGGCTGAGTTCAGAGATTGTCCTGAGCATGAGAGGCTGGGCATGGTGGGCTTGTCAGGAGCAGGTGTGGGGGTGCAGAGCTCCTCTGCTTACCTTACCCTGCCTGCACCGATGGGTCCCTGATCTCGGGCCATGGCCTGCCATCCCCAGCCTGCCCTGCCTTCCCAAAGCTGCATGTTCATGGCCAGCTCCACTAGGAGGAACAAGGGTGGACAGAGGCCCAGCGCTGGTGAGGGACAGGCCCAGCCTGGGCAGATTGATTCCATGTTAGCGCTCCCATTTGGGCTTGTCACATTTGTTCCAAGCTGATTGATTAATGAGACTCTCGGGGAAGGCACAGAACAAGGCTGGAAGTGGGGGCCTGGGGTCAGGGCTGTGAATTAAACATGGACTCCGCCAGCTGAGGATTCCAGGGCACCCGCCAAAATGGAGCCCTGAGCCCACCAGAGGAGGGGATGTCGGACCAGGATGTCTCCTTACCAAGATGGGGAATGAACTTAGGTGGCCACATACACGCACATGCATACAAAACCTCTCACATGGCCCATGGCAATGTCACAGAGAGTCTACACTTTGTCCTGGTAGCTAATCAATGTGTGTGTGTGTGTGTGTGTGTGTGTGTGTGTGTGTGTGTGTAATTCTGTGAGTCTGGCATGGCACCGTGCATGCAAGCCTGTCAGAGTATGCATACAGGAGGGAAGCTGGTGAGCACATGAGGGTGGGTTCTGGGAACGCAGTGTGGATGGAGGAATAGACCAGAAGCACCCTCTGCAGATACTCTCGGGGCTGTCCTGGGACTGAGCCCTGCTGAATCAGAGTCCTGTCAGAGCTGAGAGCACCCCCGGGGGAGCAGGTTCCCCTTTCCCAGCATGCATTACTCTTAGTAAGACCCTCACACGGGTCTTGACCTCCCCCTTGAACTTGTGGTTGGCTCTACCCCACAGGGGACCACCATGTCGTCCAGCTACAGCTCAAGTCAAAGGAGACGGGCATGACCTTTGCCAGCACCAGCTTTGTCTTTTACAACTGCAGCGTCCACAATTCGTAAGTGGCCCCCAGCCTTGCTCAGCTCCCTGTTCCTGGGGTCAGGGTTCATCTGGAGATAGAAGATGCTAGCATTGTTTGCAAGGAGTTACCATCTAGAGGCCCTGTAAAAAGGGGAATGAGACAGGTCCCTCCTCTGGTAGCCATAGGGTTCATCGGAAGGCTGGAATGAACAGAGTAAGAACCTGTAGCGTGGGGATCTCCAAATCCCTAGCCCATACATCTTCTCTGGCATCAATCTGTCTAACCGATTTGGCTCCCACCATCTGTTGAGGAGGAGGGTGCCCCTCATTTGAAGAATGGAGCAGCCAGAACCCCAGGTGAGAAGAGGGGTCTGAGGAGGGAGAGAAACCCCCATGTGTGTCCAGGCCGGGGCAGGTCCAACGAGCACCGAATGCTCAGCTCTCCCCAGTCCCCTGTGGGCTGGGTCAGGACTCTGGCTGTGGAGGGCCAGAGTGGGGCAGGAAGGCACATGCTGGTGAGCTCTGGCCTGGGGGTCTCACTCTGGCTCCAGCTGTAGCCTGGCCCTGTTTGACTGAAGCAGCCACTTCCCGAGGGAAGGCACAGAAAGCAGAGTCTCGGGCTCTGGAGTCCGACCAGCTGGAAACGTAACCATTCTGTGTCCCAGTGTCCTCTGTCTGTGGGGAAATAGTAGTCCTCCTTCCAGGAATGCCACCCAAATATTTCACCACTGACATGGCCAGGCCAGTTCTGAGCAGAGCCGTGGTTGGCTGGGACACCTCTGGTCGCTGCTCCTGCATATCAACACTGTTTGGTCCATAGGACAGCTGTGAGGACTGGAAGAACCATTACAAGCATAGCATTTAGAGCCACTCCCTGGGCACTGCTCATGTTTTTGCTGTTATTATATGATTATCCCCTCTCTAAACTGATGGAGTTGGACCAGACTGAGAAGGTACTGGCCATAGAAGCCTTTATCCAACCAAAACTAGGTGTGAAAATCCAACTGACAAAACAGATGGAAGTAGGAGTCCTCTGGTTGAGGGTTAGGAGGATCTGGGACCCCTCTGTCTTGGAACCCCACACATCTATCTCCTTGTCTCCAACAAAGCTCCACAGAACCCCCGGGGTTCCATAGAGCATAGTTTGAAAACCATAGGACCTGATTTCATAAAGCCTTGTTTGTTTCAAAATGCTATTCTGTTTTCTTCTCCCTATAGAACGAGCTAGTTAACCAAAGACAATTTGGGACTCTAGGCTGGTGTAAAGTTAGTCTACCCATCTGGTTATGGCAGTTATGAGTCCAGAGTATGGCTGTCTTTGGGGCTCCAAGTAAGGTGGTCAGGCCTCCCAACTAAAAACAAGTTGCTTCGATGCCAGAATTCTCTTCCTGCTCCTTGCCATGGAACTTTCCATGGCTTTACCACTTGGTGGCCTATTCCCTAATTTCCAAGCAATCCACAAAACAATTTTAAGCACCTACTATGTATAAGAAGTGTCACTAGGCAAGAAGGGTCAACAATTAATGAGATACAAAGACTCAAGCTCTGCTTCCAGAAGTCATGGCCTTGCGGGCTGGTGGATGAACTGGTCAGTGAGTAAGTAAAATATGAAATAACAAAGCCAGTACTGTGCCAGAGACATAAACCAAGTGATTAACAGGATAAGGGCCTAGTGTGACCAACTGTCCATTGGTCAAAGAAGGAGGAGGAGATGGCCAGCTGAAGGAAGGGGAAGTCTTCTTCCGCAGGGAGGAGGACAGCATGGGGAGAACATGGCCTGTTCATGGCTGAAATGGCAAACACATGTGGAGACAGTGGGCCTGGACACTGACCAAAGGGCTCAGGCTACATGGCAAGGCAATTGGATTTTATCTTCTGGAAGATGGGAACCATTTTACTCTCTGATGGCTGAGTGTAAATGCTCATTTACACAGGATGGAGCTCTTATAAAGTTGCCTTTGTTTTGGGGGGGTAAAGTGTGGAAGTGGGATTGCCAACTGCACAGTGACCCATAGCACTGAGAGAGCAGCCTCAGGACCTTCCTCTGCCAGGGTGGGTCTATGTGGGTCCTTGACAGTGAGATCCTGGAGTCAATTTGAATTAAAACTCAATTTCTTTCTTGGCACTAAATTTATGCGCTCTCCAATGACCTGCTCTCCACTCCAGACTGCATGGCCCCACAATTCAACAAAAGAGGGCACCATCCTGTGGAGCTGGAGGTGGTTGGTTAGGCCCTTGAGGACTAAGGTTTTCACCTACTTGAGTGAGGGGGAGGAGGCCACAGATTCTGGGCATCCTGAGAACCTGGTGTAAAAAAGGGATAGACTGGCATCAGATCTGCTTTTTCTGAATGTTTGAAAGTGGTTTCTCCTACTATGAAAAAATATTTTGCTAGGCCCTTGGCTTTGGGTTCACTGAGGTCCTATGATTTGTGCCTCTTCTTCCTCTGTGCCCAGGTGCCTATCCTGCGTTGAGAGCCCGTACCGATGCCACTGGTGCAAATACCGCCACGTCTGTACCCATGACCCCAAGACTTGCTCCTTCCAGGAAGGCCGAGTGAAGGTGCCGGAGGTAGGTCTGCTGAGTGCTGTTTGCTTATGAGCATGGGGCGCACACATGGCAGGCCGTCCCTCAAGAAAACAGGCAAATCCTACAGCACCTGGTTCTGCCCCAACCCTGACTCTTAAGGGACCGCTTCATGAAAGCAGTAAACACGCAAAGCTCTGTGCTGGGGCCAGTGGGTTCTGGGTCAGTCCTGGAGGTTCAGCTACAGGCAAAGATACATTCCAGATCATTCCAACCATGAAGACCCTCCACGTGCCAGGTGAGTTGTAGACCAATTGCAAAAAGATGGGTGTGTGCATGAGATAGAAATAATTATAAGTACACAGCAAGACAATGTATAGACTCCTTGGCTGTCCCTTGGAGCATTGTCCACCAAGCATATCTGAGATCAAATTGGACAAGTTGAGTAACAGAGAGAAATAAAAAGAAAGAATAGTCAACTTATCAACCAGAGTAGTGGTTCTCAAAGTGTGGCTCCCAGACCAGTGGCATCAGCATCACCTGTGAACTTAGTTAACCACTCCCCCTCAGACCAACAGGATAAGAAACTCTGGGGGTGGCCTTGGTACATGGTGATTCTATAGCACTGTCCCATTTGGGGATCACGAGAGTTGGCTTCATGGTTAAGAAGCTGTGCTTTTATTTTCTCCTAATCTTCATTCCTATCCTTTGTTGTTGTCGTTTTGTTTCATTTTTTTGTTTCTTGAGAGAGATTGGGAGAGAGAATGCACATGGTGGGAGGGGCAGAGGGGGAGAGAGAGGGAGAATCTCAAGCAGATGCCCTGCTGAATGCAGAACCTGATGAGGGACTCGATCTCACAACCTTGAGATCATGACCTGAGCCAAAACCAAAAGTCAGATGCTCTACTGATTGAGCCACCCAGGTGCCCCTATTCTTACCCTTGAACACTATTCATCATCATAATAGAAATACTCTATGCCTGCGTTGGTGCCTTTCTTAGGAGGTAACTTTGTGGGCAAGGACCTCAAAGAGAATGGGTATAAAAATACTTTGGAAAAGTCTGCTATGGTTCAACCATTATAGTGCTTATGTGACTCCAACCATCAGGCCAGGAGGACTGAACAGAGTGGTTGCTTTGGGATGCGGTTATTTTGAATAGAAAGATAGATATATATAGTGGATATATATATATATATATATATATATATATATATATATAGAGAGAGAGAGAGAGAGAGAGAGAGAGAGAGTTGGTTAGACCCCACTGAATGCAGGGGCAGAGCTGCAGCCTGGCTCATGCTATCTCCATCAATACTGGACTCAGACAGTTTCCAACATCTTCACCCCCTTCCCTAGCTTTGGGTACACCTTTCAGCCCCCTTCCCATACCCACACGGGTGCCATGACCATGTGGCAAAACCCACATCTGTGAGAACAGAGAATGGTCTTGATGCAGGAAGCCTAAGAGCTTTTTGGGGAATAGGAAGGGAATAGTAAGAACCCATAACAGTGCCTCCTCCCTTCTCCCAGACTTCTACCCCCATGAGAACCCTAACTTTGGCCAAACCTTTAATGGCAGGAGGGAAGCTGTCTTGTCTCTGAGGCTGAGAGGGGAGGGTGATGTCTGTTCCACTGCCAACGCCTGCTGCATTGGGCCCTGCCAGCCCAAGGGGACATGACTGAACTCTGTCTGGCAATGAGAAAACCCAAGCTCAAAATCTCGTCTTCCCAGGCTCTGATGGCTGAGCGGGAGTTCTACAGGTAGAGAATGGACAGAGCAATTGATTTGAGAGGTAAAGTCAAGGAATGGTGAGGTGGTCACGGAGAGAGGATGATCTGACTGAGTGGGGGAATGTGAGGAGCAAGCACAAGAGAGAAACAAAGAGAAGAAAGAAGATGTTGTGGACGTCCCCAGACATAAAGCCCTCTCCCTCTACAATGAGGCCTATCCTTGGCTAGAAATGGCTGCTGTGTATCATCATCAGTAAAAGGGACCCAGACATAGATTGTCCCTTTATGGGGAAAAGGAGGAAAGAGATTGGCATGTTGGCTTTGAAAAGGAAATGCGAAGCTAATGTATGTGTCGACTCTGTTCTTTTAACACAAAATGGATCTAAAGCTCGTAGGACAGATGTGGGTTTGACAGCAAGGGGCGCACCACCGGCATGTAAACCCTGATAAAAGGCTGTCCAGTCTCCTCAGCCCTGAGCCTTTATCCTGGGGCATGCGGTCAGGAGAAGGCCTGCTTCACCCCCGAAGACCAGGGGCTGGGGGCCCGGGAAGAAACCTCTTACTTTGTTCAGGAACCTGCAAGTTACTTGATGGGAGCAGAAGCAAAGAGGTTTTCAGCCTCTCTCCGGCTTTCCAGGCTGGCGTATCTGGCACAGGTTTCATGTGTGGAGAGGCCCAAGGATAAAATAGATGAAAGTAGAAACAATTGAGCTATCTGGTGGATTTCAAAGGCCCCTAATCATTTAATTACCTTGAAGGAGGTTTTCAAATTTCTGCTTTTTCTTTCTTGTTTGCTCCTCTTGTCCCAAGTCTCTTTCTTTCAAATACATAAAAGAGGCTTGCATCTGCCACTCAGAAGGAGGGGGGGAAGAAAACTAGAGGAGAATAAAACAAGAGCCCACCGTGTTTCCCAGTGTGGTTCAGGGATTCCTGTAGAAGAACAATGTCTTTGAGTGCCTGGGTTGCCAGCCAGACACAGCGCCCCACGTACTCCTGACACTGGCAGAGGCTGCCAGCGAGTCACAGCACCTCAGATCTGATGCCGGGGCTCCCAAGAAAGGAAGAGGCCTGGAAAAACGTGGCCAGTGGAAGGTGGTGCTGAGCTAACCCATATGATGGCCACCCTCAGACACTTTCCATTTCACCCAAGCTGCATTATGGTGAGCCTAGCAGGCCATTACAGCAAGAAGCTCCCAGGGACCTTGGAATCGCTATGCCTCCCTCCCTCATCACATCATAGGATGGAAGTACTTTTCACTCCTTTTTTGCCTGGATGTTTATTTATTCTAAGAAAAGCAAGCTCTAAGCCTGTGTTCCTGGCCCAGTGTTGGAGGCTGCCTTTTACCCAGCTCAATACTAGGGCCATTTTGAGTATAATGAATGTAGAGGAGAAGCCAGAGTTGACCGCTTCATGATGGTCATTGTGGCAGCATCTTCCTGGGGAATGTACCAAAAGGAAAAGAAGTCATCAATATTTGTGGATTCTTGACTCATCCAACCATTTGGGGTCATACAAGGAGGTCATTGTGCTCAGAGCTTTAAAGAAAACCCCTGGCTGCTCTTGGAAATAAGGTGACTTTTTATTTTATGTCGTTGTTCTGTTTTCTCTCTTTTTGTTTCTGCGGCAGGGGTTCCTGCAGTGGGAATAAGGGGTAAACAAAGAAAATTATGCATTTGAAAGGTGATTTTATAGAAGCCCCCAGACACAAGGGTCGCCTCTCCCTGCCAAGAAGAGAGCTTATTCGTAGCACGGTACTCAAATCTTGGCACGGGTCACCTTCCGTCCTGCATTACCCAGTCCCTGAGCATTTCCCATATGCAGAGCATTGCGAGAGGTTTCAGGGTGTGGGAGCAGTCTGTAGTCTGCAGGTAGAGATGGGTAAAATGGGACTTCTGGTCTACATGACCTCTAATATTCTTGAATTATAAGTAGAAAGAAGCTGGAAAGTGCCAAGGAGCAGTCCATGCCTAAGAAGTGGTCTTAGAGGGTGAATGCTCAAGTCCAGGCTATGGTCTCCCTGTCCTACTTCCAGGGTGACTGCCACTCAGCCTCAGAGCCTACAGCTTCCCTGGACCCATCCCCATAGGATGAAAGGGGGCCCCGGGCCCAGAGATTCTTCTGGAATCCCCAGGCTTTCATTTCTTTTCAACTTTGAGTGTGGGGAGGCAGACAGCATCCTTTTGTTAGTCAAGAGGGAGACTGCCAGGTGGCTCTTCATTGCCCCAGCACCATCGTGTATCCCCAGGAAGGCTTTCATCCCTGCGTCTTCCAGTTTCAACACCGGCTTTGTTGACTATCACCAGGGATGTTGGATTACCTCTGTTTTTTTCCTCCCAGAACAAAGAATGCATTCAGGTGAAGTTATTGGTCTGGAACAGAGAAGTGGTCGATCATTGTTGTTATTATATTAATGGCAAGTACTCTAGCATAATTACAATTCTCAGAAATAGAATGCCCAATAAACATATGTTGTTTGTAGTAACTATATTCCAGTTACAAAGAATGATTTTGTTTCACTAATGAATGGCATTGTGATAACAAAGACTGGGTCTTTGGATCAGATGCCAGATCCCGGGTACCTAAAAGAAAAGAGAGAGGAAGGAGAGGAAGGCTGACATGGGGTGAGTCTTCCTGCACTTGGCCCCATTCTCCCAGAGTCAGGAGAGACTGCTTGCATCCCAGTGGAACAGCCTTTCCCGGAGGCAGCTGTTAACTGGGCCCACCTCTACCAGCTGGGCAGGACCTCGGGTTTCCCAGTGGTTTTGACCCAAGCCCCCATCAGGCCCGCACACGTAATAACGGTGCTCCATAAAGAACAAAGGTGGACGTCCATGGACAAGCAAATCCACTGACCAGAATTTATCCTCCATAGACTCTTTTACTGTTATGTCTCATCTAAACTGAAAAGCTAAGTCAGCTACTGAAGCTGTTCCCTGGGCATCAGGCCAGATGGGCTTTGCTAGGAAGGCCCACAGTGCACAGGCTCAGAAGAGAAAGTTCCTGCAGGCCCTCTCTTCTGGAAGTTCAAACAGCGTTTACTCCAGAGAGCACATGTAGGATCATAAGAGGCAAGATGCATTCTACTTGATTTCCAAAGCAGTGCTAGAAATGTTCTTCTAACAGTCCCTACCACCCCGGCTGGAAACCTGTAGATGGGATGGGTATCCTAAAATCTGCCAGCCCCCATCCTTAGTCCTCTCCAAGAATGAAGAGCTGGCAAAGTGAGTGGGGTCCTAGGCCCTGGGCCTCTACTTGCCCCTGGTGCTCAGACAGGGCAGGCCAAGGGCATTTACCCACCACCAGACTCAGGAG